ATATAAGTTTAACATAACAGCAAATGTACAATGTTACAACAAGGTGATGTCATAACCTTGTCAAAACTATTGTACATTTACTTTTATGTTAAACTTATATTAAAGTTTTTCTTCATTACCCATTCAAGCTGTCTTCAAGTATTATTAGTCTCAAAGTGAGTTCCTCGTCATTGAATTTGAGTCTTTAGCCTGATTGAAATTTCTTATGTTTTTAGACCCAAATACAGCTTAATTACTAAGCTTGATAAATTATAGTGGAATTCTATGGTATCAATGTAGTAATTTATTATTTTTTGGTTATTTGAAATGTATGTAAAGAACCTAAAAAAAATATTTTGTTTCACATTCTCTACATGCAAAATTTTATAAGGCTTAGCAACCTATGACAAACAGCAAAGGAGTACAAAGATCATGACTAGAAGAGATAATTGTTTGCTTTACTTCTTTATATACTGTTCTATGTTTTAAGAAAAGTTATTTGTAAATAGTAATAATGTATATACATATATTATGTATAATAATTCAAATGTGACTGTATTTGACAAAATACTAGTCCACCAAAACACAGCCAAGACAGGTCACTTTGTAAAGACTAAATGTCAGTTTTATATTACTGGATATGGTAACATGAGTGCATGTATGCCACATCATTGTAACTTCTGTATTGTTAGCCAGGCACGGCTGAAAGGTCAGTATTATAGAAATAATAAATATATATATAAATATAAAATGTTATGAGATTTAAGCTATTTAGCCTAAACATTTGATTTTGTGTTGTAATTTGTAGTCATTCTAGAAAGAAAAAGGCATAATTTATATTTATTTACAAATTTTTTATGGTGGTACAAGATCAGTGAAATCGACCGAACCTGTACACAGATTCATTATTGAAAATAACATAAAATATAAAGATTTTCTTGAGAAACATTTGATAACTAGCTTAGTATCTGGACCTTATAAAGATTTCACATGTGAAATTTGAAAATTTTCTGATGCATAAAAGTATTTTTAGTCTTAAAATGAAAATTACTTTGCTTGTTGGATAGGCAATGTGTGAAAAAAAAAAGGACATGAGAAAAACATTGCTTAACAAACCCTAAGACTTATAAAAAAATCTGATATTTTGCATATGAAAGCCTTGTAATGTTTACTGATATTCTGCCAAATTTCATGAACATGGGTTTACTAATTTAAAAGTTATAGCATGAAAAGTATAACAAGCACAAAATGGTTATGAGGTTGGTGCTGAAAGAGTTGATTGTAAAATCTCTTAGCCACTTTACTGTAGTCACATACTATGAAGGAAACTCAGGTGTTTCAACTTTGTATTCTTGTACCCTTCTGTTTGGGGTTGTTTTAAGGTTTATTAACTGCTTATTAATTTTCCCAGGAACTTATTTTGCATTTCTTCTCTCAAATATCTGACATTATAAAAGAATACATGTTCAAATACCCCTTAGCACATTGTGTTTTTGATAAGAAACTTCAGATGTACACTGGGTCAATGTAGGCTCTGTCAGTTGCAAGGACTTCTGTGTTAATTGTTTCATTATTTTTAGTGGGAGTAAGAAACTCCAGATGTACTCATAAAGTTACTTAGAAAGGATGGAATTTTTAACAAAACATAATACAGTCAGATTCTTCTTTTTCTATAAACTTTTGTTTTCGAAGAACTGAGATTATTCAACAGAATTTATTTGGTCTTTTTTTTGTTTTTAATATTAAAGAGGTTTTTTTTGGTACTTGTTTATGATTTATTCAGGGTGTTATGAACTAGTAAAAGCCTGGAAAGTAAAGAAACTTGAAAAGGGGGTCAAAAGTTGTGGGAAAAATAAAGATAAACTAAAACCTGGAACCTTTCATTTTTTTTATCTTAAGAACTAGCACATGCAAACAAACTATGCTGTTTAGATGTGCCAGGTATTGATATATCTTAACATAATTTTGGTCAGTTACTCAATTTTCTTTTAATCTAATGATTATATAATTCATTATATCTAACAATAGGTTAGATTTATAAGCCGTTAACCTTATTTTTTGTTAACCTTGTTAAAAAGAGTGAGTTGCCAAAACCACACCAATTTTCATGGTGGCAGTAGACAATGTCTAAGTAATTACCAGTCAATTATTTGAAATGGCACATAGGATCTGGTGCTGAATTCTAGCTTAATTGGCACAAGCAGATGAGAATAGTGACACATCCCCCCTTCCTGGATTGAAACAGATGGGGTAAAGTAACTTATGGTAAGACTAGGACATACAAGTTTAGAACATGCAAGGTGATTAAAGCAGTGTTGCTTTTCAGTAACTTTACATGGTCAGCTTAATGTGTCTTTAAGTTGAGCTTAGAAGGAAGTTGGATGAGTATTTTAGAGATCATGGTTGAATATAAGGAAATGGAAACTTGATGATGAGGAACCCACTTTGAGACTAATAATGGCTGGAGACGGCTTGAATGGGTAATGAAGAAAAACTTTAATATAAGTTTAACATAACAGCAAATGTACAACGTTTCGACAAGGTTTTGTCATCATCAGGTATGTTATGTTAAACTTATATTGAAGTTTTTCTTCATTACCCATTCAAGCCGTCTCCAGCCATTATAAGGAAATGGATTTCTGTGTGTAATTTAGAAGAGGGCAATGTAAGAAAATGGGATAACCTATGTGAGAACAATGGGCCCTTCTTATATTTCTGTATATTAAGCAAACTATTGTCTAACATCAGAGTGCACGTTTCTGTACTACTGTTGTCTGAAGTTTTAATATTGCCTTATAACAGCTTACAAGGTAAAATAATGAGTAAAACATCAGTGTGTCACACAGATGTATTTATAGGTATGAAAAATATGAATTTTTGTCTAGAAAGTCAGCAGAATACATGTTGAAAGAATGGTGCCTTCTTGTTATATTATCTCTCTTGACATGGATGCCCATGCAGAGAGGGTTATTGGAATATAATTATCTTTCTGAGGTTGATAACACCTTCTAAGAATAATGTGTAATATATGATATTTCAGTGGCATGTCATGCAGATGCAAGCTGTTGTGCTATAGGTGATTTGAAGAACTTGTATATTTTGATTACTGCTAATTCCCAACCATTTGATGTTAAAACTTTGACATAGTATGCTTATGCCTGGAGGGATATTTCTAAGTCCTTACCAAGGAAGGATATTTCTAACAAGATTGTTAACGGTGTTGGTCCATTGGACCAACCCTGCTTTTGTGAAGTTATACATACTAATGTTCAATATAATTCTGAATTTATTTAATATATCTTCACAAACTTGGCAAGCTTTTTGTAAATGTTATGTTGAAAAAAATATGAAAATTTTGAATAAAGTATTTCTACCAAGTATTTATCTGTAAATTTATGAAGCTCTACTCAGTTGGTCTGAGTAAAAGGTGATTTATATGATAAGAATTAAAATACTTCTTTTAATCTTATAGTTTTCATATTTCATTTGCATAACCCCTAAACCTCCTTAATGAAGGGAAGTTTTTTCAGTAACACTTTATATTCTATCTCTTATTTTCTGTAACCAAACACTAAATATAGTGGAATCATTAATGTACATTAAAATAAAAAAATTGAAAAATATTAACTGAAATCGATGACTGCAGATTTTAACAGACAATTACAATTCTTTTTATCCTAATAGCCTCAGCTATCTAAACTTTCATGTCTACTTGGTTTTAATTTTGTTACTTTGCAATGACTTTTAGACCCTATCTAAGTATGTGACATGCAACTAATCATTGTTAGAGAACTTAATCTAAACGACCAATAGATTGACAATCATGTGATGCAGTTAGCTCAAGCTAGTCTCATGAAATGTTTTAATTTAATTTTCTTTTAATTTTTTTAATCTAACTTAAAATATTCTTAATTTTTACATTTTAGTTACTTGTGTTAAAAATGGTCTAACAAGAAATTTTGGACTTGTATTATAATTGAAGATTATTTCATTCACTTGTATTCAAGAGAATACATACTTAACATTGTTTTTTTTATGCTGTGTTGGTTGTCCAGAAAATCACTGATGTTCCTTTCAAACATGCATTTTAGAGCACAAAAAAATGTATCAGGCACTGGAATAGAGTGTTAAAAACTATTATAATTTAACTGGCTTTCTAACTTTCTGAAATGAGCAATTTTAATATATACTACAAACTTTGTTTTGATGCCAAGTTTATTGACACTTGTATTTTTTAAATGTAACTTTTAAAGTTGATGTTGTGCATTTTGACCCTGAAGTGCACATAGGGTTAAATAATAACTGTATAGCCAAAAGATGCAACTATTCAAAGGAGAGAGTTTTTAACATGGAAAAATTTGCACAGCGGAGTGCTTAGAATAACAACAGGTTCTGAAGCCACAACCTAAATCAATTGGGAGTAACAACTTCATCCACAAAGTGAAGGCTGTGTTGGGAAAGAAAAATAACCTTCTGACCCATAAAAACCACTTCTATGAAATTAGACATATTTGTTAATATTGTTAACAATATAATGAACAAGTATTTGAAGGTTACAAAGACTCATAACCCATAAATTCACTAGTTTTCAACTACATCACAAAATCAGTGGCTAATTTTAATGAGAAAGATGGCCAAAGAAACTGGAATCACAGTAATTCTGTTAGACCACAAAATTTCGGAGGCTTCTGATGCAACTGCTGTGGACTTTTTTTTGTGTCTTTGATCTGCTTAAACCTGTCCCATGATAAATAATGTACATTGAAAGTTCTGTGAAAATTTTTCATGACATGTAGTGTATGATTGATGTTAACCCCTTTGGCAGAAGCTTGTTAAAATAAAAACTCCAGTGTCTGGCAATAGTGCATAATCTTAGTCATCAGATTGAGTATTACTTAGAGTGAAGGAAGCAGTTCCAAGGGCCTGGAACATTGTTTTCATAATGTTTGGTTAACTTGTAATATAATTTAAACATCACCTGTAAATATTATTCAGACTTAGGTGTCTTTACCTTCTCTCTCAGGATTTCTCTGCTTCAGATGGCTGTTTGGGATAGTGTTTATTTATTGGACATGATTCAGTTACATCAATGTTTGATGCCAGAGCACTGGAAGTTGCTTATAGAAGATATATTTTGTAACAACAAGATCCTGAAGTTAGGTAAGTTAAAAAAAAATATACTTTTTGTATGAATAGTGCTATAAATTGAGCAAGTTATGGAAACCATTTGGTTTTTAGCAAAACTTTAAATTCTGGTAAGTTTGTGCTGTAGAAAAGTATAACTGTAAAATTCTAAATTATTCGTGATATGAATGCAGGCTAATTTTTTTGAAATTGTTTAAGTCGAAAGAATTGTGTTCAGAAAGGTTGGAACATGTATGCTGTAAGGTAAATTATAGAAGTTTCTATTTTTCTGTCATGTGTATTAAAAATTCTACAGGATTTGCCCTGTTTTTTTGTTATCCACAAATCTATGTTATCAAGTCAGGCCTACAGATGTTGACTAGGTTTCTAGAGTAATTTCTTTGTTTCTTGTTATCCACAAGGTTATTCCATCAAGTCAGACCTACAGATGTTGACTAGATTTATTCCTAGTTATAAAGATCAACTGAAGAAGCTATCACAAGTAGTTGATTTAGGAAATGTGTTTTCTAAGGTATGGATTCAAAACATGTAGGTGTTTTTGAGTAATAGATTATTTAAAGATATAACTGGAATTATATTATTTTTATGTTAAAAATAAAACGTTTCTATAAAATAACATGTATTTAATGCTTGATATTAAGTTCAGACAGTATGTGATCGTTTATTAATCTAATAAAGAATTATTGACGTTAAAACTAACATGTCAATATAGATTACAAATACGGCATGTTTCGTCACCAAATTTTCCATGTAACTATGGTTTATGACTCATCAGATATCTACTAGTTTTCTGTAGTAATTAGTTTATTTAGTCAACTAAATGTTGGTAATAGTGACTGATTAACTCTTTAAAAAAAAAACAGTCAGGATTACCAACAATGAAGCCACAGTACTTAGTTTACTGAATGGCTTCATTGTTGGAAATTATGACTTACTTGTGATTCATAAGGTATCTCAAAGTTTTCTATTGTAATCAGCTTAATAATATATTTTAGCATTACCAATATAGTATTGTTTAAAAAAAGTGTAAATTTTCCTCTGTACTTGTTTTAATAACTTACTTCAATATTAGCAGTAGTAGTTTAATATTTAACAAAAGTGGATACAGATTTCTCCAGCAGTAATTAGCTTAAAATTGTTCCTGTGTATGTATTGTTTTTATCACTCATTGAAAAGATGGGTGTATCTTGTCCACAATAAAAAAGTGTAAGTTTAGTAAAAAAAGAAATAAACTCTTTATTTATTTATTTATTTTTAGTTTCAGAAAGACCATCCAGAATTGGTGAAAGCATCTGAACTCTGTCCTACTAAAAGAGATTCAAAAGGCTTGAGTGAACTTTCAAGAATTATCTTAGGGCAGCCACTTAACAAAGATGAACAGTTTTCTGACTGGGAGAGGAGACCTCTTCGCTCAGCTCAGGTTAAATATGCTGGTAAATGCAAGAACATATTAGACATGTTTGTAAAGCTTATGTATTTATGACTTCTAATGAAGAGAGTATGTTCTTGGCTGGAGTTAATAAAACTGCCTTTTGTTAGAATTTTTATTTTTCTGAAACATTCTTATTTTCCCTCACCCCAAAGCTATCTCGATCTTGATTTGCCCTCTAATCACTGCTAAAAAAATGTTTTCGCCTAGCACACTACACTAGCACAATCTTCACTTTCTCAATTGGCATTAGAATGTATGGACGTGTGTTTAACTCGCTCTACTTGTGATTACTACGATTTTGTTTGTAATTTCTTATCAGTTTCCAAGTTTTCAAATTTCAATTTTTGACTTTAGTGTTTGCTTTCCATTTTTTAAGTTGGTTTGTTTTCATCAGTTTTTTATACTTGAATTCTATTTTTTGATATGAATTTGAGTATTAACGTAACAAATGGTGATATTCCCGTGAATTTAGTTGACAGTACTAATGCTAACCCCAAACATGGATATCTGTCGAGGGAGTTCAGGCTTTAATTCACAGGGAGTTAGAGACTTATGTTTGGCCGTCCTTTGCCTTCCCCCCCCCCCCCAACCTGCTTCTGAGGAAGAATTTCATCAAGGGGAAGACAATTTAGACTCTGTTTATCCAGCCCCAGCCTTTTTTGGTCAGTCACATAATACTGACAGACAGGAGAGTTTCCCGTCCTTGCTTTTCTTTCACCTTATTGATCAGGTATGTCAAGTTTTACATGTTTCACATTTAATTCTTGATTCCTCTCCATTTTTTTAGGTTATGTACCACGTTCTGATTATTATGTGACAATACCTGACATTAGGGTTTATGCTCAACAGTTTGCTGAACAATTGCTGTCGGGGTGGGTATGCCCTGTCCACCTCAGTTGTTGGACCAGTATTCCTTAGGTTACCAATGGGCCTCGGATTCTTTTTTGGACTCCCAATGTTTAGATCCCCTCCTCTCCCCGTGGGTCTCTAATCCGGGGCTATGATTCATTTTAATCATTCCCAGTTTTCAAGGATTTGTCTTACCCTGACCTCCCTTTTATGTACCCTTTCCTCCTTACAATTGTTGTCTCAAGCCTTTTGCTAGTCACCCAATTCATTTTAATCAGTCCCAGTCATCCCTGGCCTCCCGTTGGTCTTGTGCTGTTATTCCCACCCAGTCTTCGCCAGTCTATGTTCCCCATGTCCCTTCTTCCACTCCCCATACCTTAACCTTCTCCAGGCATTGTCATCTTTACCCTCAGTTTTCCTATTTTGGTTCATCCTGGAGTCCGTGTTATAAGTGATGGGATGCTCTTTCCAGGACAGGTGGGGACCAAGTTGCAACAGTTTTCAACTGTGTGGTGCCTCTTCATAACAGATCCATGGGTTCTTTGTGTTCTGTCAGAGGGTCTTTGCCTTTAGTTCCAGTCCCCTTTACTCTTCTCCAATCTCCTTCCCTCCTCCTCTGGATCGAGACTGTCTAAGATCTCCTACACAAAGGAGCTATCAAACATTGTATTTCAAGGATTGACATTAACTATTCCTACATTTACTTCCTTTTTTGAAAAGTTTTTTCTTTACCTGTATAATAAATCGTTGGAATTGAACTGCATATGTCAGTATATATTAAATACATAGAAATGTAAATGTCAGTATATATATATATATATATATATATATATATATATTAAACAGTTGGTATATAATTTCAAATGTCAGTATATATTAAATACATAGAAATGTAAATG